CATTTTGTATTTTATTCTATTACTTTGACCTCAATTTTTATTTTTCCCCAGTACACAACTCAAAGAGTCACATATGCAGTTTAAGCTTGTGTTAATTTTTTGAACAATCCTCGAAAATAAGATAATATGGAGAAAGGGAACAAAGTTTTAGACTGTCTATATTTATCCTACTACGAAGGTCAAATATTCCTGGTAGGTTTCTGTTTTATCTCCTATTTTTTTCTCATAATTCTTTTTTATTTTATTTTATTTTTTGGCTTTTTGAGTCACACCCGGCGATGCTCAGGGGTTACTCCTGGCTTTGCACTCAGGAATCGCTCCTGGCGGTGCTCGGGGGACCCTATGGGATGCTGGGAATCGAACCTGGGTCGGCCGCGTGCAAGGCAAACGCCCTACCCGCTGTGCTATGGCTCCAGCCCCTCCTCATAATTCTTGAGACAAAACTCTTCTGTTGGAATACTTTAAACTTTAACTTCCTTTTTTCACCACAAATACATATTTCATTTTCTGGATATACTCTATTCAAAATGCATTCAAAAGTTTTAACAGTTAGATATCATTCTCAGCTCTCCTTTGCCTCAGCGGAGAAGGGAGAGCAGGGTGGGGGTGGGGCATCTGTCTGGTCAGCTGCAAGGTCACCACAGCCCAAGGGGGCAGTTTTCAGCCACTTGGATCTGAAGCTGGTCTGAAACTTCAGCAAGAAAACATGATATAGGGCTGGAACAATAGCACAGCAGGTAAGATGTTGGCCTTGTATGTGGCCAACCTGGGTTCGATTCCCAGCATCCCATACGGTCCCCTGAGTACCACCAGGGGTAATTCCTGAGTGCAGAGCCAGGAGTAATCCCTGTGCATCGCCAGGTGTGACCCCCCCCCTTCAAAAAAACCTGGTATCTTTAAAACTTTTACAAAGGCACAATGCTGTGGTTTCAGACTATCAGGCTGACATCTGAGGTTAACCCAGTATAACTATTTGCTAAGTAGCTCTAGAAATTTTTAGTTACCAGAGGGTCTAGAGCAATAGCACAGAGGGTAGGGCGTTTGCCTTGCATGTGGCTGACCCGGGTTCAATTCCCAGCATCCCATATGGTCCCCCGAGCACCGCCAGGAGTGATTCCTGAGTGCAAGAGCCAGGAGTAACCCCTGAGCATCGCCAGGTTGCCTTGCATGAGTCTGACCTGGGTTCGATTCCCAGCATCCCATATGGTCCCCTGAGCACCGGCAGGAATTATTCCTGAGTACAAAGCCAGGAGTAACCCTGTGCACTGCCAGGTGTGACCCAAAAAGCAAAAAAAAAAAAAAAAATTTAGTTACCAGAAGTCTCAGGGATCAAATAAAATACTGGCAGGATAAGTTTTGCAACAAATTTTATGACTCTAGAAATTCATATTTTAAACCAAACCAGTATTCTTTGAACCTGTTTTTAGGTACCACAATTATTTCAGCTCATTTTAACAGGGCTGGAGCAATAGCACAGCGGTCAATCAGCCTAATCAGTGGCTGAATAAATAGCGGTACTCCTACATTAAAAAAAAAAAGTGGAGTTCATGCACATTTCAATCAGCCTAATCAGTGGCTGAATAAAATAGCAGTACTCCTACATTTAAAAAAAATAGCACAGGGGCTGGAGCAATAGCACAGCGGGTAGGGCATTTGCCTTGCACACGGCCAACTCAGGTTCGATTCCCAGCATCCCATATGGTGCCCTGAGCACCGCCAGGGTTGATTCCTAAGTGCAGAGCCAGGAGTAAACCCTGTGCATCGCCGGGTGTGACCCAAAAAGAAAAAAGAAATTAGCACAGCAGGTAGGATGTTTGCCTTGCATGTAGCCGACCCAGGTTTGAGACCTGGGTTCAATTCCTCCTTCCCTCTCAGAGAGCCCGGCAAGCTACCGAGAGTATCTCGCCCGCACGGCAGAGCTTGGCAAGTCCCCATGGCGTATTCGATATGCCAAAAACAGTAACACAAGTGTCACAATGAAGACATTATTGGTGCCAGCTCGAGCAAATCTATGAACAATGGGAGGACAGTGTTACAGTGACACGGTGCTCATTCTAACAATTCAATGCAGATGCAAACAAATGCATATTGACATAAGAAAACACTTGAACTGCCAACGCTTATAAAAAAATATGAGAAAGCTCTGTTTTCATGACTTCTGTACCTCTGTTGTTTGTAAAAACAGTCTAATATCTCATTAAGATTCGGAGAGGCTTGTAAGATAAAGCCTTGCATTCTCTGAACTCTGATCTCACTTTAGTTTCAGGCTCTGGTTCTGCAGCTCTTTTCTAGATAGTACAGTTTCCAAAGCTCAAACAATTTCAATTGTTAATAACCATTAATGTTTTTCCAATTAGAAATTAGATTGACTGGTGGAGGGATGGGCATCTGATCATTGTATAATCAAACCCAAGCACAAAAAATTGTAAATCTACAACTGTACCTCATGGTGTGTCACTAATAAAAAAAAATTAAAAAAAAAAAGAAATTAGATTGAGAACTTCACTTTCTCTGTCCAAAAAACACCGAAACCTTTAAAATTGCTCGGATGCATATCACTCTTGTGATGATGCTTCTTGCCCAAGTTTAAGGATTTCTACTGATTTACACAGACAGACAATGGACTGACTATAAATACCACATGTACATGTGCACATATTTACAGTTGATCGATCGATCTGACTCTTCAAGAAAGGACTTACAGTCCCTCTCTGACTTAATTTTAAAAGTTCTTAATTATCGCAAATCATAAGATTTTTTTTTTTTACACCAGACACTTTAACAACTTCACAATTCAAAGATGCTTTCAGGCACAGGAAGAGGCTGTTGATATTCACCAAATTTTATTATTTATTTATTTGCTTTTTGGGTCACGCCCGGCGATGCTCAGGGGTTACTCCTGGCGTTGCACTCAGGAATCACTCCTGAATACTCAGGGGACCATATGAGATGCTGGGAATCGAACATGGGTGACTGCGTGCAAGGCAAACGCCCTACCCGTTGTGTTATCGTTCCAGCCCCATAGTACTCACCAAACTTTAAATAGCAGCATAAGAGCTGCTATTTGGTCAACGTTTAGGAAAGCAGGAGATGTAACCTAATTTTCATCTGCACACAGTTTCACAACACACTTGTTTTTAACCAGGCAGGGGTCTCTCAACCAGTTCCTGCCAGACCAGGATGTAAGGTATCTGATCCGGCTGTCCTCCTGGTCCTGGAAAGAAACTTATACCTTTAGTTTTTCAGAACAGTCCCCAGATCAAAAGTACCTTGAGTGGGTCAGCCAGTATTGAAGGCTACAGAACAAGCCAATTCTGCAGAACAAAAAGTTGTTTTTTTTTTTCTTTTTGGATTATACCCAGCGATGCTCAGGGGTTACTCCCCAGCCCCGAGGATTCTGAGTAGTGTCCTAGGTTTCCACGTGGCCCCACTCCCAACCCAGAACAATGTGTGAGGAAGCTGTGATTCTTCACGTTCTGATTCGCACCTGGAGACCAGGAGCGGGAGGATTTTCTCCCTCACAGGCTGGGGCATTTAGATTCTCTTCATGTGCCACTGACCAGCTGAGCAGGGAACTCTTTGATTTGATTTTGTTTTTTGGGGTCACACCTGATTCTGCGCTCAGGAATCGGATCACTCCTGGCGTGGATGGATCTCCTGCGGAGGGTGCCGGGGCTGGAGCCCAGGTCCGCTGTGTGCAAGGCAGAGGCCGCCTTGTGTGTGTGTGCAAGGCAAAGGCTGCGTGCAAAAGCCGTGTGCAAGGCAAAGGCCGCCTTGTGCGTGTGTGCAAGGCAAAGACTGCGTGCAAAAGCCGTGTGCAAGGCAAAGGCCGCCTTGTGTGCGTGTGTGTGCAAGGCAAAGGCTGCGTGCAAGGCGCAAAAGCCGTGTGCAAGGCAAAGGCCGCCTTGTGTGCGTGTGTGTGCAAGGCAAAGGCTGCGTGCGAGGTGCAAAAGCCATGTGCAAGGTAAAGGCCACCTTGTGCGTGTGTGTGCAAGGCAAAGGCTGCGTGCAAGGCGCAAAAGCCGTGTGCAAGGCAAAGGCCGCCTTGTGTGCGTGTGTGTGCAAGGCAAAGGCTGCGTGCGAGGTGCAAAAGCCATGTGCAAGGTAAAGGCCGCCTTGTGCGTGTGTGTGTGCAAGGCAAAGGCTGCGTGCGAGGTGCAAAAGCCGTGTGCGAGGCAAAGGCCGCCTTGTGTGCGTGTGTGTGCAAGGCAAAGGCTGCGTGCGAGGTGCAAAAGCCGTGTGCGAGGCAAAGGCCGCCTTGTGTGTGTGTGTGCAAGGCATAGGCTGCGTGCAAGGTGCAAAAGCCGTGTGCGAGGCAAAGGCCGCCTTGTGCGTGTGTGTGTGCAAGGCAAAGGCTGCGTGCGAGGTGCAAAAGCCGTGTGCAAGGCAAAGGCCGCCTTGTGCGTGTGTGTGTGCAAGGCAAAGGCTGCGTGCGAGGTGCAAAAGCCATGTGCAAGGCAAAGGCCGCCTTGTGTGCGTGTGTGTGCAAGGCAAAGGCTGCGTGCGAGGTGCAAAAGCCGTGTGCGAGGCAAAGGCCGCCTTGTGTGTGTGTGCAAGGCAAAAACTGCGTGCAAAAGCCGTGTGCAAGGCAAAGGCCGCCTTGTGTGTGTGTGCAAGGCAAAGACTGCGTGCAAAAGCCGTGTGCAAGGCAAAGGCCGCCTTGTGTGCGTGTGTGTGCAAGGCAAACGCTGCGTGCGAGGTGCAAAAGCCGTGTGCGAGGCAAAGGCCGCCTTGGGTGCGTGCAAGGCAAAGGCCGCCTTTGCACAAGCCTCTAGGCGAGCCTGTTTGTCCCTTTTCCAGGGCCTGGCGCTGGCTTGGAAGGACAGAAGCCGGCGGAGCGGAAGGGCGGAGCGCCGGGCCGCCGGGATGCACCTGATTGGCCCGTTTCACCTCGCCCTCCCTCCCCGCCATCCAATCAGGGGCCGAGGACGGGCGGCGGGGGGCGGGGCGCCGTCCTCGGGCGGAAGGAGGCTCCGGCCCGGACCCTGCTCGCGGCTGCCCGAGCACTGGCCAGCGCGCAGCTGGCTGGACCCGCGGGGCCGGCAGCTCCCGGGCTGGGAGGGGCGCCGAGAGCCGGACAGATTGCAGGCCGGGGAGCAGGAGGACGGGCTCGGAACCGGACCCGGCGGCCCGGAGAAGTCATCCGGAACCGGTGAGGGCTGGGGGGGGGGGGCGGGATGAGTGACGTCAGGCCCGGGGCGTCTGGGCCGGACCCGAGGCCGGTTTCCTAAGGGTCCTCTTTGCTTTTTTTTTTTTGTCTTGGGGGTCCCCGCCAGCGATGGCGAGGGCTTGCTTCTCCCTGGCTCTGCAACCCGGGATCGCGCTTTGCAGGGCCTCGACCACCCAGTGGGTGCTGCGGGTCGAACGCGGGTCCTTCGTCTGCATCCAAGCACCTTGAACCCGGTTCGGGTGGGTGCCCTGCAAGGGGAACGACTTTTGCTTTGCTTTTGGCCCACACCGGTGATGCTCAGGGGTTGCCCTTGGCTTTGTACTCAAGAATGACTCCTGGGGGGCGGGGGGCGTTTGCCTGGCACGGGGCCGACCCGGGTTCGATTCCCAGCATCCCATAGGGTCCCCCTGAGCACCGCCAGGAGTGATTCCTCAGTGCATGAGCCAGGAATAACCCTTGTGCATCGCCGGGTGTGACCCAAAAAGCAAAAAAAAAAAAAAAAAAAGAATTACTCCTGGGGGGCTGGAGCAATAGCACAGCGGTAGGGCGTTTGCCTTGCACGCAGCTGACCTGGGTTCGATCCCTGGCATCCCATAGGGTCCCCCTGAGCACCGCCAGGAGTCATTCCTGAGTGCACGAGCCAGGAGTAACCCCTGTGCATCGCCGGGTGTGACCGAAAAAAGCACTGTCACTGTTAACTGTCCTCCCATTGTTCATCGATTTGCTCCAGCGGGCCCAGTCACGTCTCCATTGTGTTTTGTGTTTGGCATCTCCTTGTTAATGTGTTTGGCATCTCGAAGACGTCATGGGGGAACTTGCCAGGCATTGCCGTGCGGGCGAGATACTCTCGGTGGCTTGCCAGGCTCTCTGAGAGGGGCCAAGGAATCGAAGTAGAGTTGGCCATGTTGGCTGCTTGCAAGGCAAACACCCTACCCGCTGTGCTATCATGCTATCACTCCAAAAAAAAAAAAAAAAAGAATTACTCCTGGTGGTGGTGCTCAGGTGGATGACCTTATAGGATGTGGGAATCAAACTGGTGGCCACGCCCTCCTCGCTGTACCAATGCTCAGGCCTCGTGAGCTTTTAGGCCTGGGAACTTTGTCGGGCAGATCAGTTCTGAAGAACCCATTCACATTCTGGAATGAATCGGCCGTGCTTGCTGCTAACATACTCGTTATTTTTCTTGCAGTGAGTCTGAAAGCTTCTCCAAGCAGCTTCTTCCTATGCCCAGATCCGCTGTGCCCTGACTTCTCACCTGCTCAGAAAGATGGTGAGTTTGGGCTCCTTTCTTTCTTCTTCTTCTTCTTCTAATAATTGTGTCTTCTTGCCCTCACGCGGCGGTGCTCAGGGCTGACTCCAGGCTCTGTGATCAGGGATCACCCCTGGCGGTATTGGGGGGTTCACATGTGATGCTGGAGATAAAATTGATTTGGGCATGTATAAGGCAAGTGCCTCCCCACTGTCCTTTCTGCCCTTCCCCTCCTGTCCCAGCTTCTGTGCTGCAGTGAGTGGCTGAGATTTCCATGCCAGTCAGCCTATGGGTGGGTTTCACCTGTGTGGTGACCCCCCACCATGCCAATCCTTCCAGGTTCTGATGCAGCCAAATGAGGAGAAGGGAGGCAGAGAGGAGGCCTGAAGAGAACGGGTAGAGTCTGTGCTCAAGGTTAAGTCCAGAGGTTTTACCCAGAAGTTGTTCCTGTCCTGCCTTTGGGGGTTCTGATGGGGGCTTTCATAATGCATAAAAAAAAAGATTAACCACTGGCCCTTTGTGGTTTGTTTATATTTGGTTTGGGGGCGACATCCAGCACTTTTGGGGGCTGACTGCTGGCTCTGAGCTCAGGGATCAGAACTGGGGGTCCTGGGAGACCTTATGGGATGTCAGGGATCGAACCTGGGTTGGAGCACGCAGTGCCAGCGCCCGTCCCACTGTGCCCTTGCTCCTGCCCCATAGGCAAGTCTTCCTGGAGGCCTTTGTTAGGCCCCTTGATGCTGCACTGACAGACAGCAGGGTCTCTCCCGGCCCTGAGGGAATCCTGCAGGTCGCCCGGGCGCGCTGTCTGAGCAGCGAGTCTCCTGGGGTCTGAGGAGTGGCCCAGAAGCTTCTTCTTAGGCATCAGCCTATCACAGGAACCTTGGTCTTGGTCTTTGTAATGTGAAGTGGGTTTTCCACGGGGTGCGGTGGTCTCCCACCAATTCTTGGGGGGTGCAGGGGAAAGGCTGCTCTCCAAGCAGGCTGCTGACGGTTTCTGCATTTATTTGAGCGAGGATTCCCTTTGTCACTCCCCGCTTTTGTTTTTGGGATCAAACGCAGAGATGCTCTCTCTGTGTTGTCCATCCGCGTCTGCTTGGGGCCCTGTCGTGGCTCGTGGCTTCCAGAACTTGCTACTGACATTTGCATCCCACAGAGCTCATGATATTCCCAAAGGGGCCTTAGGGCTTAAACTAGATGCCAGGACCCTATTGTCACCCCCTGCATCCAACTGCACCCCCAGGGATGAAGAGGAGCCCAGGCTGACTGGCAACTGTGTGTGTTTCAGGAGTCGGTATCCTTGGAGGACGTGGCCGTGAGCCTGACCCAGGCTGAGTGGGATTTGCTGGATCCTGCCCAGAGGCTCCTGTACAGAGACGTGATGCTAGAGGCCTGCATGCACCTGGTCTTCGTGGGTGAGGCTGAGGCGCGACCCCTCCCCGCAGCTCAGGGCACGGAGCCCGCTGCCCGCGTTCCCGACGGGGCCACGGAACAGGGCTGCCGGGAAGGAGGGGCCTGTCTCTGGGCACCCTGGCCCAGGCAAGGGGCTTTCCTAGGCAGGGAGACAACTTAACTGCCTTTTCTCTGGTTCAGGGCCACACCGCAGGATGGAGCAGGGTGTCAGGGCCACTGCCTGGCTCTTGCTGTGACCCTAATGGTGCTGGTTGGTCTCTCCAGTGTTCGGGGCGCCCTGGCTGCACTCAGTAGTGCTGGGTGAGGAAGATGGTGCCCAGGATTATATTCTGGGCCACGGCATGCCAGGCATTGTGCTACCTTGAGCTTCTTCCTGGGGGCCCGGGGCCCACACCCGGAGGTTCTTGGGGCTGACTCTGTGCTCAGAGACATGCTCAGGGTACACTGTGGGGTGCGGGGATCTGACCGGCCTCATTCAAGGCAGCTGCTTCCATTTCTGTTGAAGCAGACCAGCGGTATAGGGCCTATTCCAGTTCTTTTTCATTCCCACAAAGAATCGTTTTTCTTTCCGGGCATTCCCAGCGATACTTAGGGCTAACATCCTGGCGTTGCTTGGGGAACCCTATGGGATGCTGAGGGTCGTACGTACCCAGGTTAACTGTGTCCAAGGCAAGCGCCCTCCCCGCTGTCCTATTACCCTGCCTCTCCCCAGTCTCTCTGCGGGACTAACGCATCTTCCTGCTTGTTCCAGAGGTTTTTGCTCGTGGAAAAGCCAGTGGTGCTGTAGGGGGTGACGTTAAATTATTGATCATTGAAGACAGCACCGAGAACCTCATTCGCCACGATCCCTCCAATGGTTTTGGAGAGAAGCGGATGTTTCCTGACGCTGGTGACGAGAAAGATACGCAGAAGCAGGAACAGGAGTGAGTGGTGTGGCCAGGGGACGGGGGGGAGGTGCCGGGGCTGGTGGTCTCTGGAATCTCTGCTGACTGCAAATGGATAATCAGTGTGAAAAAACTAGTGCAGGGACTGAATAGTGTCACCTTCACACTCTCCCTCATGGGCCTCCTTCACTTACCACATCTGTGATACGCATGGCGAACTCCTGGCTCTGTGCTCAGGAATCCCTCCCAGCCATCCTGTGGGGTGTCAGGGATTGACCTGAGTCAGCCTCATTCAGGGGAGGGTCCTGTGGCCTGGCTGGCAGCCTCCCCTGGCTTCTTAAGTGGTTTCCACTCAGGACCCTTCTCGGTGAGAAGTCCCTTCTCCAACTCCCCCCCATGCCACCCCACCCTTTGTGGGCTTAAAACGGGGGCCTTCATGTAAGGCTTTGATGCAAGGTAAAGGTAAAGGTAAAGGCCCTCCCGTTGATCGTCGATTTTGCTCGAGCGGGCCCAGTAACGTCTCCATTGGAGACTTTGTTGTTACTGTGTCTGGCATATCGAATACTCTCGGTAGCTTGCCGGGCTCTCCGAGAGGGGCGGAGGAATCGAACTCGGGTCGGCCATGTTGGCCGCTTGTAAGGCGAACGCCCTACCCGCTGTGCTATGGCTCCAGCCCCTGATGCAAGGTAAATCGAACATTTATTAAGAGAAATATTCAGAAAGCCCTACCGTCAGGCTATAATGAAGCTATAGCATAGTGGCTACAGTTTAATCCCAGGTACCTGTTGGGCCCCCAAGGCCTTGCCTGGGAGTGATTCCCTGAGTGCACAGCCAGGAGTCCACCCCTCGTACCACAGGGTGGTGTGGCCCCAAAAACAGGGTTTGGGGGAAGCCAACCCAAGACAGGAAAATCCAAACAGAAATAGTATCCCTCATGACCAATGGTAGTGATTGATTAATACTCATTTATTGTTCTTTGAGAGTTTCCAGGACTCCTGGTCCTGTGCCACGGATCACTCTGGGTGGGACTCAGGGGACCTGATGGGGTGCGGGGGACAGATTCTGGGCAGCCTCATGCAGGGTCCCCGCCCTCACGCTGTCCTATGGCCGTGGCATTCGGCCTGCTCTTGCTTTTCTGTTCAGTGTGTGTTATCTTTGGCAGATGCATATCACTGGACAGTCTCGGTGACAGCCACAAAGCTCCCGAGGGTGCTGGAGAGACCCGGAGGAGTACTCAAAGATTCTCTGAACCCCAAAGTCCTGTTGCCGCCTCTCCTGTGGAATGTTCTTCCCCCCAGCAACCCCCGTCACCGCCCCGCGACTCTCCTCCAGACCTGGCTCAGGGGGCCGTCTGCTGCCCAGCCGGCCAGGAGACCCCCTCTCTCAACCCGGATACCCCTCAGCGACGCCGTCGGCGACCCAATATCCCGAGACCGAAACCAACGTCCCACGACTGCAAAGTGTGTGGGGAGACCTTCAGTGTCGCCAACCTACTGACGCGTCACATCCGGGAGAACCACAAGGAGACGCCGTACGTGTGCGAGCTCTGCGGGAAGGGCTTCCGCTTCCCCTCGTACCTGCAGGCTCACACGGAGACCCACACTGACATCGAGAAGCCCTTTAAGTGCCCCGAGTGCCCCCAGAGTTTCAGGTACCCCTGTAAGCTGCGCGCCCACGCCAGGGTACACATGGAGGTCAAGCCCTTTGGCTGTAAGGAGTGTGGGAAAAGCTTCATGTCTAGCTGGAAGCTGCGTCGGCACAGCTGGATCCACTCCGGGGAGAGGCCCTACGACTGCCCCGAGTGCGGGAAGGCGTTCCACGAGAGCTACTTGCTAGCCAAGCACATGCGTATTCACACGGGCGAGCTGCCTTACACCTGCACACAGTGCGGGAGAGGTTTCCGCTGGCTTGACAGCCTCCAGATCCACCAGGTGACACACACGAGCCTGAGTCCCTTCCAGTGCCCCGAGTGCGGCAAGGCCTACCGCTGCCGCTCCTACTTCAGAGTCCACCTAAAGACCCACCAGGCCGCCCAGCCCCTCAAATGAGGGGAGGGGGGCAGAGTCTTCAGCCACCCCAAGGTCTTCCGCCAGCACTCTTAGGGGGCACCATGAGGGGCAGCCGTTCGTGTGCCACTGCGAGCAGGGGTTCGACCGGACTGCAGCCCTGCACCGGCACGTCCGCCGGACCCACACGCCGGGGAGAAGCTCTGAACCCATCTCCTGCCCTATTCCGGGATTGTCACCCTGTCCCCCACCAGCCTGCGGGGAAAGAGACCTCGGGGGTGCAGAGAGCATTTGGGTCGAACCCCGTACCTCAATTTCTCTCACCCCCCAAAAGTCAGGGTAAAGCTATTTCTTTTTTAAATTAATTGAGGCTACAACTGATGAGTGATGGTCAGGACGGACTTGAGGTTCTGCTCCCAGGAATCACTCGTGGTGGTTCTCATGGGACCCTCTGGGATGCTGGGATCGAACATGGGTCAGCCACATGCAAGGCCTGCCCCCTCCCCTCTGTGCTATGCTCTTCCCCCGGATACTGTAGTCTTGCTTTTGTGACGTCCCTGGTGTCTGTGGATCCTGTCCTAGGAGGGAACTTTTGGGGAATTACGTTCAAGTGACAGTATGTTTCACGTGTCTTTGGAGGCCACACCTTGTGCTGCTCTGGGCAGATTCCTGGCTCTGCAATCAGAGGTCAGTCCTGTTGGGCTCAGGGGTCCCATGCTATGTCCTGGTCCCCCTGAATCAGCTACTGCATGGCCAGCGCCCTCCTCTTCACCATGGCTCCGGCTCTGAAGTTCTATTTTATTTTAGCTGCTATCTGATTTCCACTACTGTTCCAGGTAGGGTTTACAAGCATCAAGGTAAAAGGTAAAGGCCCTCCCGTTGATCGTCGATTTGCTCGAGCGGGCCCAGTAACGTCTCCATTGGAGACTTTGTTGTTACTGTGTCTGGCATATCGAATACTCTCGGTAGCTTGCCGGGCTCTCCGAGAGGGGCGGAGGAATCGAACTCGGGTTGGCCATGTTGGACAAGCATCAAATCTTTCAAAAATTTTTTTTTTTTTCGTTTTGACCGGACATGGGTTGGTCCTCAGGGCTTCCTCCTGGTCCTGCACTCAGGGATCACTCCAACGGTGCTTGGGGACCCCCTGGGGTACTGTGTATTGAACCTGGGTTGTCCGCATGCAAGCTGGGCTCTCTGCCCACTGTCTTCTTTCTCTGGCGACACTGATGGAGGCAAAGCCGGCACTGACCACGGTGGTGATGCCTGCAGCACAGCTGACCCCCAACCGGCCCTGAGAGGCCAGGCTGTCACTCTGCTGCGTTACCGGACTTGGAGAAACGCACGGGTAGTGAAGGCAGGGAGAGGGGTGGCAGGGACTCGTGTTGATCCAACACACCGAATGGGATCCCTTCGCAGATCTGGGTTTCAAAGAAGCTCGTTTTTCTTCATTCAGCATCTTTGTTAAGTAGAGTGTCATGTTAGCTTGGTCGCTATGGTAACGGACATCGGTAGGCTGGTCAATTGGACAATAATTCTCGTAGCAACTTATAGACCTGTGCATCTACTTACCCTACTGTGTCAATGTTTAGAGACGTTAGTGACTCTCCAATAAATGTCCATTCATAATGTCAGTGTTTTTCGAGTGACATCATCTTTGTTCATTCTCCCGCCGCCCTTGGATATGGGAGAAGAGAATCTCCTTCCGCAGCTAGAGAGATCCCCTTTATTGCTGCTATGAGTGTGTAGAGCCTGGCAAGCTCCCCTGTGGCGTATTCGATACGCCAGAAACAGTAACAATAATGGGTCTCATTCCCCTGATCCTGAAAGAACCTCCAATACAGCACCGTTGGGAAGGACGAGAAAGGAGAGGCTGCTAAAATCTTAGGGCTGGGACGAATGGAGATGTGACTGGTGCCCGCTCGAGCAAATCGATGATCAACAGTGACACAGTGACGTGAGTTGAGAGCTGCGAAGGTTCCCCGTGTGAGAAATGGGGTGGGTTGCTGTGCCATGGGGACAACTTGCTCTCTCGGCAAGCGCGGTAGGAGATTCTTGGTCAGAGAGTGCAGCAGGGAGGATGTGGCCCGTCACGAGGCCAGACCGGGTTCCTGACCTCTTACAGGACGCCCCTAAGCAACAGGATGTGACCCCATAACCAAAAGGCAGAGTCCCCCAGCCTCTGTTCTCTGTGGGTCTCCATCAAAGAACTTGCTGCCTGTCCACCATTCCCAGTAGCCCGAGGAACTGTAAGAAACCTCTCTCAGTTTTTCCTGGATGTTGGCTAACTCAGGTGAGTTGCAGTGAAATGGTGGCCACATTGAGTTGCACATAGGTTTGTGGGTGTGGGAGGTCCTGGGGAAATTTAAGCCCAGACCTGCTGACTAGGGTGAGGCGGCATGACTCAGTCATTGAGTGCTGGATTTTCTTACTTGCTTTTTTTTTGGGGGGGGGTGTAGTTTCACACCCTCTGTTTTCAGGGCTGACACCGGCTCTGTGCTCAGTGATCACTCCTGTTGGGATTGGGGAGGCCCTATGGGATGCCGGGGATTGAATTGGGGTCAGCCACATGCAGGGCAGGTCCCTAACCACTGTACTATCATCCCTGCCACCTGGGCTTTCTGAAAACAACTTCGAGTATTTTTTAGGGGAGGGGGGGTTGGTTGTGGGGAACCCACACCAGGCAATGCTCAGGGATCACCCCTGGCGGGTCAAGGAACCCTGTTGGTGCCGGGGATCTAACTCGGAATGGTCGCCTGCAAGGCCACTGCTCCTCCCGCTGGCCTTTCTCACCGGTCCCCGCTCTTCCCCCAATTCGATAGCACAGCGGGTAGGGCGTTCACCTTACAAGCGGCCAACATGGCCGACCCGAGTTCGATTCCTCCGCCCCTCTGGAGAGCCCGGCAAGCTACCAAGAGTATTCGATATGCCAGACACAGTAACAACAAAGTCTCCAATGGAGACGTTACTGGGCCCGCTCGAGCAAATCGACGATCAACGGGAGGGCCTTTACCTTTTACCTTTACCAAGTGAGGTGTAACCCTGGGTCCGTTAAACGGCCCCATCGCACACGTTGGTCCTGGTGCTGCTGTTTCTGGTGCTTTGGGGGAATCCAGAGACTGCTGGAAATGGGAGTGACCTGGGCATGACCAGCAAGGGGGAGTAGTGACAGGTGAGGAAAGACTTTTACTGTTGTGTGCTCTGGCATCAGAGGTGGTGGGAAAGGCATTAAAGGGACCCTCATAAACCTGAGCTCTGCAGCGCGTGTGGCCTCCATTCCAAAAGCAAACACCCACAGAGTGGCCTAATCTCTTTTTATTTTTTATTAGTGAAACACCTTGAGGTACAGTTGTAGATTTACAAATTTTTGTGCTTGGATCTCGGTCACACCATGCTCAAACACCCATCCCTCCACCAGTGCCCATCTTCCACCACCAGGATAATATCCCTCCCCCCCATCCCCCCCAGCCCCCCCTGCCACTGTGGCAGGGCATTCCCCTTTGTTCTCTCTCTCCTTTTGGGTGTTGTGATCAGCAAAAGAGGCACTGAGTGGCAAACACGTTCAGTCCATAGTCTACTTTCAACCTGCATCTCCCTTCCTGGGAGGATCCTCCAAACACCCTCCATTTGGTGCTCCCTTCTCTATCTGAACTGTCCCCTCCCCTAGAATACCCGGCTGGCCTCTAGGCTATGGAGTAATCCTCCTGGTACTGATCTCAGCTATTCTTGGGTATTAATCTCATATTGTGTTATTTTATATCCCCCAGATGAATGCAATCTTTCTATGTCTATCCCTCTCTTTCTGACTCATTTCGCTTAGCATGATACTTTCCATGTTGTACCACTTGTATGTAAATTTCATGACTTCATCTTTTCTAAGAGCTACATAGTACTCCATTGTGTAGATGTACCAAAGTTTCTTTAACCAGTCATCTGTTCTTGGGCATTCAGGTTTCTTCCAGTTTCTGGCTATTGTAAAGAGTGCTGCAATGAACAAACAAGTGCAGATGTCACTTCGGCTACACATTTTTGTGAGTGGCCTAATTTCTATCTTGCTTCCTGTGCCCTGTTGGTTCTGGGTTGCTGGAGCTCTGACCTCCGAGCACTTTCTCATCTGCAGCCATTTGGTAAAAGCCAGAGACACTCTGAGTTGGATAAACTATTTTGTTTTATTTATTTATTTTTAATTTTTATTAGTGAGACATCATGAGGTACAGTTGCAGGCTTACACATTTTTGTGCTTGGGTTTCAATTATGCAACGATCAAAAAAAAATATGGAACGCTTCCCGAATTTGCGTGTCATCCTTGTGCAGGGTCCATGCTAATCTTCTCTGTATTGTTCCAATTTTAGTATATGTGCTGCCGAAGCGAGCACTAAACTATTTTGTTTTAGATTATACCTAACAGTGAATAGGTATTTTGATTTTGTGCAGAGCGATTACTCCTGACTTTGCTCGGGGACCTTAGAGGGTGCTGGGGATTGACCCAGAGTCAGTTGTATGCAAGGCAAGCGCCCTGTCAGCTGTACTACCTATTGGGCACCACCGATGACTTCATATTTACCAAATATGTTTAGGAAGAGCAGCGTGCTACGGTATTCTCTGCAAGCAACCCTCTGCTCCCAGTTATTTAATTCGGGGCCAGAGCAATAGTGAGATGGGGGCGGGAGGTGCTTGCCCTGCATGCAGCGGACATGGTTCGATGCCTGGAATCCCTTTCGGTCCCTTGGTCCCCTCCCAGAGTGATTCCTGAGAGCAGAGCTAGGAGTAAGCCCTGAGCAGAGCCCAGTGTGGCAACCCCGTTTCTCCCAGCGCATTCTGAGAAGTGTCCCGCCCCCAACCCAGAGCAATGTGTGAGGAAACTGTGATTCTTCATGTTCTGATTCGCACCCGGAGACCAGGAACTGGCAAGATTTTCTCCCTAATGGGCTGGGCGACTGGATTCTCCCAGGCACCACTAATTTGATTTTATTTTGTTTGTTTTTTTTTTTTTTGGGCCACACCTGGTTGTGCGGTCAGGGATAGATCACTCCTGGTGTGTGGCTCTCATGGGGAGGATCCCGGGGCTCGAACCTAGCTCAGCTGTTTGCAAGGCAAAGGCCGCCTTGCCATGCTGTGGGGTCTCACCTGTTGGGGACTGGCCTTGGCATGCTCTGCTTGTTTCCCCTGAAAAGGGAATGAGCAGGGGAAAAAGCTTGGCACATGGGAGCGTCATGCCACCTGATTCGCCCTGGCCGGGCCAGAAACCACATCCTCATTCCTGTCCTGTTTTGCTGAGAAAGTTCAAGGAACTGGCCACGTAAGCCAGTGAAAAACAGAATAACGATTAGCAGAGCTTGCCCAGCTTTTCATCTTTGCCTTTTCCACGAATTGTTTACTGTGTACTATATAAATCAATGAGCTTGGCACAAAAGTCGCTATATGTTTCATACCGCCCTCCCTGCTCCATCTCTGCAGCTCTCGTTTCCTCTTTCAGGTCAACCATTCCACTAGCCCTGTGGGTCGCATCACTCAGCCTCTAGGCCAGCCTGTTTGCAGGTTGTCCTGGGCCTTAACGCTGAGTTGGAAGAAGGTGAGCCCGTGGGAGCCAAAGGGTGGAGCATCAGGTCCTCTAGGGTGCACCTGATTGGCCCTTTTCATCCCACCCGCCCTCACCGGCATCCAATCAGAGGTCGAGGATGGGCGGTGGGGGCGGGGAGATAACCAGGGGTGGAAGGAGGCTCCAGCCCCAACCTGTTCTGGGCTCCCTGAGCTCTGCCCAGCGTGCCCAGCATGGTCCCTGGACCCGCGGGACCGTCAGCTCCTGGGCAGGGGCGCTAAGCGAAGACGGCCTAGGAATTAAGACCAGGCGGCCAGGAAGAAGACATCTGGACCAGGTGATGGTGGAGACTGGGAGTGGGGAGTGGGGGGGCAGGATGAGTGACGTCATACCCAAGTCTAGGCCTGAGAACTGAACTGTTTAATGAACTTTATTTTTTATTTTTTTATTTTTTTGCTTTTTGGGTCACACCTGGCAATGCACAGGGGTTACTCCTGGCTCTACCCTCAGGAATCACTCCTGGCGGTGCTCAGGGGACCATATGGGATGCTGGGAATCGAACCCGGGTCGGCCGCCGTGCAAGGCAAACGCCCTACCCGCTGTGCTATCGCTCCAGCCCCTTCTTCTGGTACTTTTTTTTCTTCTTTTTGGGTCACACCTGGCAATGCACAGGGGTTACTCCTGGCTCTACCCTCAGGAATGACTCCTGGCGGTGCTCAGGGGACCATATGGGATGCTGGGACTCGAACCCGGGTCGGCCGCATGCAAGGCAAACGCCCTACCCGCCGTGCTATCACTCCAGCCCCCCTGGGGTCACTTCTGAACGCCAATAAGATGTAGCCCACCCCAAATTTATTATTTTTTTTTCTTTTTGGGTCACACCCGGCGATGCTCAGGGGTTACTCCTGGCGGTGATCAGGGGACCATATGGGACACTGGGAATCGAACCTGGGTCGGCCACGTTGGCTGCGTGCAAGGCAAACGCCCTACCCGTTGTGCTATTACTCCAGCCCCTGAACTTTATTGTTTTTATTTATTTTTTTTCCCCCAGCGGTGGTCAGATGTTGGGGACGGGCCCAGGCACTCCCTCCCTTTTCCCCTGGCAACTGGAACTGGCTGTGGAGGAACTTGGCGTGAGGGTGGGTATAGCCCTGGTGGCTATTCTTGAGAGGAAACTGAAGGGAAGACCGGTCCATATCCTCCTTGGCCTGGTCGGAAACCACATCCCCATTCCTGCTTCTTAGAGCTGAGATAAGGAACAGAAAATAAGTAAAACTTGCGAAACCAGAATTGCTTACACAGCCTAAACAGAATTACTTACATAGCCTTTATTTATTTATTTATTTTTTGCTTTTTGGGTCACACCCGGCGATGCACAGGGGTTCCTCCTGGCTCTGCACTCAGAAATCACTCCTGGTGGTACCCAGGGGACCATATGGGATGCTGGGAATCGAACCCGGCTCGGCTGCGTGCAAGGCAAACGCCCTACCCGCTGTGCTATCGCTCCAGCCCATGACATAGCCTTTTAAACCTGCTGACTGTTACTTGTTTAAGACTATCTAAACCAGTTAAGATTATAATAAACTCACTGTATGCTTCATAGAATCCTCCCTAGCACATCTGTAGTTCTTATTCCCTCTCTCCTGCTGGAGTTCGACTATCTGCGTGGGTCATGGCAGTCAGAGCTTGTAGTCCGGGATCACTCCGGCAGGGCCTTGAGGATCCAGTGGGTGCTGGGGATCGAACCCGGGTCATTTGTCTGCATACAAGCACCTTAACCCGTTTCTGGACCCCTAAAAGTGAACAACTTTTGTTTCCTTTGGGCCACACTGGTAATGCTCAGAGGTTACTCTTGGCTCTGCAACTCAAGAATTACTCCTGGGGGTGCTCAGGTGATCTTATAGGGCGTGGGACTCTAATCGGTGGCTGCCACGCCGGCTACGGCGTTGCCCGCGTAGCAACATGCTGCCAGGGGGCTCAGGCAAGGGCCTGGGTCCCTGGGAATGGGAGGTTCGCGGCCCACGGGTCTATGCCTCCGGTAGCCCCCTCTTCTGTTTTTGAAAGCGCCTCTGGCATGCAGTCCTCCCTTACCATTCTGTGGGAATAGGAGCCTGCCTGTTAGTTATTCCTGATGATTAATCACATAGCTTGGATTAAGATGTTTTGATTAACCTTTAGTCTTGGAATTATGTTTGCTAGTAAAATAGAGTTAATATTAGTTTCTGTAAAGTCCTGATTTTATTAGGTTATGGGTAGGCGTTTTTAGGGAAGTAAAAACTTAAATGTCAGTGAAAGCAGACAATAGAGGAATAGTAAGGAACATAATATTTCACCCAGATATTTTATTGGGACAAGCGGATGTTCTGTCCTAATCTTAAAGCGGAACGTGTACGTGCCCCTTGATGTTTTGGGAACGTGACCCATGGTCTGATGTAATGTGTGCCTTGCCACGTTGTTTCTGTAACTGTATAAGAAGAAGAACTCTGGATGCAATAAACCGCGGCAGCACTCAACCTCTCTTGTGTTGGTGTCTGTCTGTCCAACGCGCCGAATCTCCTGCTTTCCTGTGCACCTTCGCCTGGTCTCCCCTCAGCCTGGTGGTCTTCGACCGAGTGGTCTGCGGCAGGTGGCTGTGCCCTCCTCGCGGGACCGTGTGACTTTTGAGCATTTGAAGTGTGTTTGCAGATCAGTTCTAAAGAACGCACCACTCTCTGGAGTGAATCTTCCGTGGTACTAACATACTCATTATTTTTCTTTGCAGCAAGTCTGGAAGCTTCTCCATGCAGATTCTTCATATGCCCAGATCCATTGTGCCCTGACTTCTGACCTGCTCAGAAAAGATGGTGTGTTTGGGCTCATTTCTTTCTTTATTATTAAAATTTTTAAATTATTTTGGTGTCAGCTGATGGTGCTCAAGGCTCACTCCAGGCTCGGGGATTAGGGATCATCCCTGGCCTTACCAGGGGACCATATGGGATGCTGGAGATGGAATTGGTCTGGCTTCATGCAAGGCTAGTGCCTCCCCACAGAACTATCTACCCTTCCCCTCCTTTCCCAGCTTCTGTACTGTGGTGAGTGGCTGAGTTTTCCTTGCCAGTCAGCCTATGGGTGGGTTTCAGCTCTGTGCTGATCCCCCCACGTCAACCTTTCCAGGTTCTGATGCCGAGGTCTGATGGCAGCCAGATGAGGAGAAGGCAGGCAGAGAGGACAAGGTCTGAGGAGAATGGGTAGAGTCTGTGCTCAAGGTTGAGTCCAGAGGTTTTACCCAGAATTTGTCCCTGCCCTGTTTTTGGTGTTCTTTTTTTTTTTTTTTAAATTTTTATTAGTGAAACACCATGAGGTACAGTTGTAGACTTACAAAGTTTTGTGCATGAGTTTCGATTATACAATGATCAAATACCCATCCCTCCACCAGTGCCCATTTTCCACCACCATGGATCCCAGTATCCCTCCCACCCCCCATCCCCCCATCCCACCCTGCCTCTGTGGCAGGGCAGTCCCTTTTGTTCTCTCTCTCCTTTTGGGTGTTGTGGTCTGCAAAAGAGGCATTGAGTGGCAATCATGTTCGGTCTATAGTCTACTTTCAGCATGCTTCTCCCATCCTGGGAGGATCCTCCAAACACGCCTTGGGGGGTTCTTATGGGGGCTTTCGTGATGCAGACAGAAAAGATGAATCATTGGCGCTTTGTGTTGATTTTGTTTGGGGACCATACCCAGCAGTTTTGAGGGCTGACTCCTGGCTCTGGGCTCAGGGATCACGGCTGGGGGTCCTGGGGGACCTTATGGGATGTCGGGGATCGAACCTGGGTTGGAGCACGCAAAGCCAGCATCCTTCCCACTGTGCCATTGCTCCTGCCCCATAGGCAGGTCTTCCTGGAGGCCTTTGTTAGGTCCCTTGATGCTGCATTGACAGACAGCAGGATTTCTCCCGGCCCTGAGGGAATCCTGCAGGTTGCCCGGGCGCCTCTGTCTGAGCAGCGAGTCTCCTGGGGTCTGAGGAGTGGCCCAGAAGCTTCTTCTTAGGCATCAGCCTATCACAGGAACCTTGGTCTTGGTCTTTGTAATGTGAAGTGGGTTTTCCACGGGGTGCGGTGGTCTCCCACCAATTCTTGGGGGTGCAGGGGAAAGGCTGCTCTCCAAGCAGGCTGCTGACGGCTTCTGCATTTATTTGAGCGAGGATTCCCTTTGTCACTCCCTGCTTTTGTTTTTGGGATCCGACGCAGAGATGCTCAGGGCTTACTCCTCTCTCTGTGTTCAGGGATCACTCCTAGCAGTGGTAGGGACCTTAAGGGATGCCAGAGATCAACTCCGAGTCCGCCGATGCAAGGCAATTGTTGTCCCTGCTGTGCTTTTGCTCCAGGCCCATTCCTTTGTCCCTCTTTTCAGACAGAACCCTCATAGTTGTCCATCCGTGTCTGCGCTGGGCGCTGTCGTGGCTTGGGGCTCCCATCACTTGCAGCTAACATTTGTATTCCACACACCTCGTGATATTTCCAGAGGGGCCCTGGGGGTTTAAAGTAGATGCCAGGGTCCTGATTGTCGCCCCCTGAATGCCCAGGCCAGGCCCCCCAGGGCTGCAGAGGGGGCCTGGCTGATTGGCATCTGTGTGTGTTTCAGGAGTCGGTCTCCTTTGAGGACGTGGCCTTGAACTTCACCCGGGCCGAGTGGGCTTTGCTGGATCCTGCCCAGAGGCGCCTGTACAGAGACGTGATGCTGGAGGCCTGCAGGCACCTGGCCTTCGTGGGTGAGGCTGAGACGCGACCCTTCCCCGCAGCTCAGGGCACGGAGCCCGCTGCCCGTGTTCCTGACGGGGCCGTGGAATGGGGCTGCCAGGAAGGAGGGGCCTATCTCTGGGCACCCTGGCCCAGGAGCAGGGTTTTCCTGGGCAGGCAGATGGGTTTATGCCTTAACTGCTTTTTCTCTGATTCAGGGCCACACCAGGATGGAGCGGGGTGTCAGGGTCACTGCCAGCACCTCTGGTCTTTCTATGACCCATTGGTGCTGGTTGGTCCCCCCAGTGTTTGGGGACCCCAGGGCTGCACCCGGCAGTGCCGGGTGAGGGAGGTGGCACCCAGTATTATATTCTAGGCCAGGAGCATGCCAGGCATTGTGTTACATTGGTGCTTCTTCCTGGGGGCACGGGGCCCCCACCCGGAGGTGCTCGGGCTGACCCCTGACTCCGTGCTCAGGTCCTTTCTTGTCCATGCTCTGTGGACTCCATGGGGAGCGGGGATGTGACTTGCTGTCAGGATCCTGGCTAGTCGACCCTGGCAAACTGGAGTATGATCCCCCAAGCCGCCGGACTTACTTCCTATAAAGAGGGAGTGGGAAGGGGAGAAGTCTCTGCCCTGGCCTCCTGCGCACTGCAGGCCCCCAGTGCCACCGAGAAAGAACCACGCAGAGAGCGGGGGGAAAGTTGGAGGTCAAGCAGTTCCCCGTTTATAAGCTCTCACGCAGGGATATTTATACATACATCTCCGAGCACAGTACAGATGTTAGTTAATGATTTACATTTCCCGCCTTCAGGAAGGGAACACTCTCCCTCGTGGGCCGCCTTCATTTACCGCACCTGTGATAACGCATGGCGGACTCCTGGCTCTGTGCTCAGGAATCCCTCCCACCTGTGGGGTGTCAGGGATTGACCTGAGGGCTGGGTGCATTAACATGGGTAGATGGTAAGGGTGCGTCCTAATCCCGTTATCCTCTCAACCAGAGTGCCTTTCTGAGTGGAGTGCCAGCCCTAAGGCCCTGGACCCCTGTGAACAGACCCAGCTCCTGTTTCCAAGGGCAGGGGATTTGGTCAGGGTCTCAGGACCCAACAACTTGCCTCCTTCAAGTCAGCTGCTTCCATTTCTGTTGACACAAACCTGCGGCCTAAGTCCTATTCCAGTTCTTTTTGTTCCCACAGAGAATCTTTTTTCTTTCGGGTCACACCTGGCGAAGCTTAGCCCAACTACAAGCATTGCTCTTGGAACCCTATGGGGTCCCGAGGATTTAACCCAGGTTAGCTGTGTCCAAGGCAGGCATCCTGTCCCACCGTCCTATCTCTCTGCCTCTCCCCAGAGTCTCCCTGTGGGACTGAATTGTCTTCCTGCTTGTTCCAGAGGGTTTCGCTCGGGGAAAAGCCAGTGGTCCTCTTGGAGGTGTCTTGGGGAAGAAGTTGTCCCGTGAAGACAGCACCGTGGGGTTCATGAGCAATGATTCCTGCAATGGTTTTGGAGAGAAGCGGGTGTTCCCTGACACTTGTGACCAGCAACAAAATCAGAAGCGGCGACAGAAGTGAGTGGCTTGGCCAGGGGAGGGCGGGAGTGGTTTGGTTTTGTTCGAGGGGACATCTCAGGAGTGTCCAATATCTTCAGATGAAAACCAACGGGTCAGACTAGTGCAGGACTGAGCAGTGTCGCCTTTACAGTCTCCCTCGTGGGCCTCCTTCATTTACCTCACCCGTGATGCGCATGGCGGACTCCTGGCTCTGTGCTCAGGAATTCCTCCCAGCCATCCTGTGGGGTGTCAGGGATTGACCTGAGTCAGCCTCATTCAGGGGAGGGTCCTGTGGCGTGGTTGGCAGCCTCTGCTGGCTTCTTTTTTTTTAAATTTTTATTAGTGAAACACCATGAGGTACAGTTGTAGATTTACAATTTTTTGTGCTTGGGTTTCGATTATACAATGATCAAATACCCATCCCTCCACCAGTGCCCATTTTCCACCACCATGGATCCCAATATCCCTCCCACCCCCATTCCCCCATCCCCCCCTGCCTCTGTGGCAGGGCATTCCCTTTTGTTCTCTCTCTCCTTTTGGGTGTTGTGGTCTGCAAAAGAGGCATTGAGTGGCAAACATGTTCAGTCCATAGTCTACTTTCGACATGCATCTCCCCTCCTGGGAGGATCCTCCAAACACCCTTTATTTGGTGCTCCCTTCTCTATCTGAACTGCCCTTTCCCCTAGAATGCCCGGCTGGCCTCTAAGCTATGGAGTAATCCTCCTGGTGCTGATCTCAGCTATTCTTGGGTATTAATCTCATATTTTGTTACTTTATATCCCCCAGATGAATGCAATCTTTCTATGTCTATCCCTCTCTTTCTGACTCATTTCGCTTAGCATGATACTTTCCATGTGGTACCACTTGTATGTAAATTTCATGACTTCATCTTTTCTAACATCTGCTGGCTTCTTAAGTGGTGTCAATTCAGAACCTTTCTCAGTGAGAAGTCCCTTCTCCAACACCCCCCCATGCCACCCCACCCTTTGTGGACTTAAAACAGGGCCCTGCGTGTAAGGTTTTGATGAAAGATGAATCAAGCTTTTATTAAGAGGAATATTCAAAAAGCCCTACAGGAAGGCCTGAAGCCATAGCATAGTGACTGGAGTTTAATCCCACGTACCTGTGGGGACCCCACGGCCTTGCCTGGGAGTGATCCCTGAGTGCACAACCAGGAGCCCACCCCTAGTACCACAGGGTGTGGCCCCAAAACAGGGATTGGAGGAAACCAACACAAAACAGGAAATCAAAACAGAAATAATATCCGTCATGACGGTAGTGGTAGTGATCGTTGATACTCATTTATTGTTCTTTGTTTGAGCATTTCCTGGACTCCTGATCCTGTGCTCAGGGATCACTCCTGATGGGACTTGGGGAACATGATTGAATGCAAGGGACGGATCCTGGGCAGCCTCATGCATGGTCCCCGCCCTCCCACTGTCCTGTGGCAGCGGCAGTCGGGCTGGTCTTGCTTTTTTTGCTGAGCGTGTGTCGTCTTTGGCAGACGCCTCTTGCCGGATGGTCTTGGTGACAATCACGGATCTCCTACAGGAGCTGGAGGAACCCCGAGGCGGACTCAACGATACTCTGGACCCCAAAGTCCAGTTGCCGCCTCTTCTGCAAAATGTTCTTCCCCTGAGCACCCCCCAGCTCCTCCCCACAGCTCCCCTCCAGGTGACCTGGCTCAGGGGGGCGTCTGCTGCCCAGATGCCCAGGGGACCCCCTCTCCCAACCCAGGGTCTCTCAGGCGACGCCCTCGGCGGGGCGCTGGCACCCGAAGACGGACGTCCCATGAGTGCAAAGTGTGTGGGGAGACCTTCAGTCTCGCCAACCTGCTGATGTGTCACATCAGGGAGAACCACGAGGAGACGCCCTATGTGTGTGAGCTCTGCGGGAAGGGCTTCCGCTACCCCACGTACCTTCAGGCTCATGTCGAGACCCATGCTGACCTCAAGAAGCCCTTTAAGTGCCCCGAGTGCCCCCAGAGGTTCAGGTACCCCTGTAAGCTACGTGAACACGCTCAGGTGCACTCGGGCATCAAGCCGTTCGCCTGCGAGCAGTGTGGGAAAAGCTTCAGGTCTCGCTGGAAGCTGCGTCGGCACAGCTGGATCCACACCGGGGAGAGGCCGTATGACTGCCCCGAGTGCGGGAAGGCATTCCAGGACAGTGGTGCAAGGACCAAGCACATGCGTATCCACACGGGCGAGCGGCCCTACACGTGCTCGCAGTGCGGGAAAGGTTTCCGCTGCCTGGACACCCTCCAGGTCCACCGGGTGACGCACACGGATCAGAGTCCCTTCCAGTGCCCCGAGTGCGGCAAGGCCTACCGCTGCCGCTCCTACTTCTATGGCCACCTGCTGTCCCACCAGAAGGCCCAGCCCCTCACCTGCGGGGAGTGTGGCCGAGTCTTCAGCCACCCCAAGCACTACCGCCGGCACGTCAGGGGTCACCACAAGGAGCAGCCCTTCGTGTGCCACTGCGGGCAGGGGTTCGACCGGGCTAAATCCCTGCAAGCACACGTCCGCCGGACCCATGCCAAGGAGAAGCGCTGAACTCCTCTCCCGCCCTAGCGATGATTGTCAGCCTGCGAGGAAAGAAACCTCTGGGGTGCAGAGAGCGAGTGCAGTGCAATCCTATGCCTCTATTTTTCTCACTCTCCCAAATCTCAGGGTAAATCCATCCTTTTTTTTTTTTGCTTTTTGGGTCACACCCAGCGATGCACAGGGGTTACTCCTGGTTCATGCACTCAGGAATTACTCCTGGCCGTGCTCGGGGGACCATATGGGATGCTGGGAATCGAACCCTGGTCGGCCGTGTGCAAGGCAAATGCCCTACCCGCTGTGCTATCACTCCAGCCCCCATCTTTTTTTTTTTTAATGGTGTTGGGGCTAGAACTGATGATGTTCAGGAATGTTTCGAGGTTCTGCTCCCAGGAATCAGTCCTGGTGGTTCTCAGGGACCCTGTGGAATGCCGCAATCGAACAGGGTCAGTTACATACAAGGCCAGTGTCCGCCCCGCTGTGCTATGAGTGCCCCCTGGATACTGTAATCTCGTGCTGTAGAGTCATATGTGCCTTGTGGAGCCTGTTGCAGGAGGGAGCCGAGTGGGGGATTATATCTGAGTTATGTTTCTTGTCTGTATTTGGGGGCCACACCTGGTGTTGCTCCTGGCAGATTCCTGGGTCTCCTCTCAGGGATCAATCCAGCGGGCCTCAGGGGACCCTGTGATATGTCCTGGTCCCCCTGGGTCAGCTGCTGCATGGCCAGCGCCCTCCTCTTTACTATGGCTCCGAAGTTCTGTTTTATTTTAGCCACTGTGATTTCCACTACTGTTCCAGGTAGGGTTTATAAGCATCAGGTATTTCAGAGATTTTCTTTGTTTTTTTTTTTTTTTTTTGACGGACACAGGTTGGTCCTCAAGGCTTCCTCCTGGTCCTGCACTCAGGGATCACTCCAGCGGTGCTTGGGGACCCTCTGGGGTGCTGTGTATTGAACCCGGGTTGGCTGCATGCAAGCTGGGCTCCCTGCCCACTCTTCTTATTGCTCTGGTGACACTGATGGAGAAAAAACTGGCACTGATCATGGCGATGTTGCCCACGGGTCAGCCGACCTCAAAGCAGACGTGAGTTGCTAGGCCATGGGACGGGCTCTGCTGAAGGACCAGGACGCAGAGAAACAGTGGCAGTGGAGGCAGGCAGACAGGTGATGGAGGTTGGTGTTGATTCAACACCCTGAGTGGAATCTCTTCACTCCTCTCTGCTTTGATAAAGCTCATTTTTATTTTTTTTGTTTTTATTTATTTTTTTCTTTCTTTTGGGTCATACCTTGGCGATGTACATGGGATTTTCCTGGTTCATGCACTCAGGAATACTCTGTCGGTGCTCAGGTGACCCTATGGGATGCTGGGAATTGAACCCGGGTCTGCCACGTGCAAGGCAAACTCTACCCACTTTGCTATCACTCTCACCTAAAAAAGCTTTTTTTTTATTCATTCAGAATCTTTGTTACATCAGATGGTCACATTAGCTTGGTCACTGTGGTAAACAAAGGTGGCTGGTCAGTCGGACAATGATCCTCTTAGCACCTTAGACCTGTGCATCTGTTTACCCTACCGTGTCAACGTTTACTGTGTCATTACTGACTCTACAATAAATGTTCGTGCATAATGAATGTCAGCGTTTTCATTTCTCTTGGGAGCATCGTGGTTTATTCTCCCGCTCCCGGATGTGGGAGAAGAGAATCTCTCTCCCTCTGGAGATAGAGAGACTCCTTCACATACCATCACTGTTGAACACAGTGAAGTTTCCATGTTTGAGAAATGGAGTTGGTCCCTGTGCCATGGGGACGACTTGCTCTCTCGGCAAGTGTGGTAGGAGTTTCCTCATTGGAGGACAGTGTAGTGGGGAGGGTGCAGGCCTGGCACGTGGCCACCTGGGTTCGATCCCAGGTATCTCACAGGAACCCCTGAGCAACTGGATTTGACCCTAAACCAAAAGGTAGCCTCTGTCCTCTGTGGGTCTCCACCAAAAAACTTGCATCTTCCTGACCACCATTGCATGCTTCCCTGGGAAGTATGATAAACCTCTTTCAGTTTTTCCTGGATGTTGGCTAATGCAGGTGAGTATTGCAGTGAAATGATGGCCACATTGAGTTACACATAGATTTGTAGGATGTGAGGTCCTGGGGAAACCTGAGCCCAGACCCTCCGACTAGGGTGGGGCAGACTGACCTCAGTTGTTGAGTGCTGGGGTTTCTTATTTTTTTTGGAGGGGGAGTGTACATCCCGTTTCTCAGGGCTGACTCCTTGCTCTGTGCTCCTGGTTCACTCCTCTGGTATCGTGGGACCCTATGGGATGCTGGGGATTGAATTGGGGTCAGCCACATGTAGGGCAGGTTCCCTAACCACTGTACTATTGTCCCTGCTCCTCGGTTTTTTTTTTTTTCTTTTTGCGTCAAACCCGGCAATGCTCAGGGGTTACTCCTGGCTTTGCACTCAGGAATCAATCCTGGCAATGCTCAGGGGACCATATGGGATGCTGGGAATCGAACCCAGGTCGGCCGCGTGCAAGGCAAACGCCCTACCCGCTGTGCTATTCCTTCAGCCCTTCCCCGGGGTTTTTGAAAACAACTTTGAGGGTTTTTTTTTTTTCGGGGGTTGTGGGCGACCCAAACCTGGCGATGCTCAGGGATCACTCCTGACAGTGGCCAGGGAACCTATGGGTGCCGGGGATCTAACTCGGAATGGTCACCTGGAAGGCCAGTGCTCCTCCTGCTGACCTTTCTCTCGGGTCCCCGCTCTTTCCCGATTCCTGTTGTGCCTAGTGAGAGGCGACTCAGGGTCTGTTAAACGGCTCCATCTCACATCTGGGTCCCGGTGCTGCTGTTTCAGGTGCTTGTGGGGAGTCCAGACTCTGCTGGAGGTCAGACCTTCCAGCACTTTCTAACCTGCAGCCATTTGGTAAAAGCCAGAGGCACTCAGTGTAATAAATGCTATTTTTGGTTTGTCTTAGGTTACACCCAGCAGTTCTCAGGTATTATTCCTGGCTTTGTGCTCAGGGTCACTCCTGTCTTTGCTCAGGGGACCTTAGAGGTTGCTGGGAATTGCACCAGAATCAGTTGCATGCAAGGCAAGCATCCTATCAGTTGTACTAGCTCTCAGGCACCACTGATGAATTCATGTTTACCGAGTTGGTTTAAGGTGAAGAGCATTGTATTACCGTATTCTCTGCAAGAAACCCTCTGCTTGCAGTATTTAAAATTTAGGTCTGGGGCAATAGTGAATGGCGGTATGTGTGTGTGTGTGGGGGGATGATTTCCCTGCATGCAGCAGACCTGGGTTCGATGCGTGGAATCCCATATGGTCCCTTGGTCACCTCCAAGATAGATTCCTGTGAGCAGAGCTAGGAGTAAGCTCTGAGCACTGCCCACTGTGCCCCTGCTGTCCCCCAGAGAATTCTGAGAAGTGTCCCTGGTTCCCACTTGGCCCCGCTCCCAACCCAGAACAGTGTGTGTGAGGAAGCTGTGATTCTTCACGTTCTGATTCGAACTTGGAGACTAGGAGCTGGAAGGATTTTCTCCCCGGTCTAGATTCTCCCAGGCACCACTGATTAAGTGAGCAGGGACTCTTTGATTTGATTTTGTTTTTTGGGCCATACCTGGTTCTGGGCTCAGGGATCATTCCTGATGTGGATCTCGTGGGGAGGGTGCTGGGACTCGAACCCATGTCAGCTGTGTGCAAGGCAAAGGCCGCCTTGCCTTGCTCTGGGATCTCATCTGAGAGCCTGTTTGGGTGTGTTCCTGGGCCTTATAGGATGTGAGCCAATGAGAGTGGAAGGGTGGGGCACCCGGTCCTCTAGGATGCACCTGATTGGCCCTTTTCGTCCCACCCGCCCTCACCGTCATCCAATCAGAGGTAGAGGATGGGCGGTGGGGGCGGGGAGATTACCGTGGGCAGAAGGAGGCCCAGCCCTGAACCTGCTCTGGGCTCCCTGAGCTCTGCCCAGTGTGGCCCCTGGACCCGAGGGGCCGTCAGCTCCTGGGCAGAGGCGCTAAGCCAGACAGATTCTAGATCAGGAAGCATTGCAGGGGGCGCAAAGACGGCCTAGGATTTTTTTTTTTTAATGTAGGAGTACTACTATTTATTCAGCCACTGATTAGCTGATTGAATTGGGCATGAACTCCACCTTGCTTTTTTTTTTTTATAATTTTATTTATTTGTTTATTTTTCTTCTTACATTTATTTATTGAATCACTGTGGAAAAAGCTACAAAGCTTTCAGGTTTAAGCCTCGGTCATACAATGATCAAACACCTCTCCCTTCACCGGTACTCATTTTCCACCACCAAGAATCCCAATATACCCCCCTTCCGCCCCTCCCAGTGCCTGTGAGGCAGATGATTTCCACTTAACTCTTCTCTACATTGATTACATTCATTATTTCGACAAAAGATGCACCATAATTGTTCAGAATTTCCCCCCCCCCCCAACAATCAGAATTGCTGAAAAGGCATTGTGAAATACTTCGTTTTCTAAAGCCAGTTATGAGAATCATATAATGATTTTGGATTTCTGCCAAGAGCCAGATAATTGCAAGATTGGTTTCTGTGCATCTGGTGTTATGGCCGTGCTGGAGAGCTGCTCGTGGGGGGCAACTTGTGACCTCAGTAGGGCGTGAAGGACGAGCCAGTACTGACCCCTTCCCATGAGACTGCAGTTGTCCCGTCACCGCTGCCTCATACCTGGCTTTCCAATAAGCTCTGAGGCGGCAGCCACCTTGCTACCAGCGGGGAGGAAAGGCAGAAGGGAGCAACACCCTTTCCCTTCCGGGGAGGCCTGGTGCTGTAGTTTAACGCATGGTCCATTCACTTTTCTGCTGCAAGCTGTTGGGCTCTGGATTAAGTCCTTTTGCGTCTGGAGCCATGGCCGTGCCGGAGAGCCGCTTGTGGGGGGGCAACTTGTGACCTTGGTAGGGCATAAAGGATGAGCCAGTACTGCCCCCCTTCCCATGAGACTGCAGTTTCCCCATCACCACCAACTCATACCTGGCTTTCCAATAAGCTCTGAGGTGGTGGCCACCTTGTATGCGGTCCAGATGCATTTCTGCCAAAAGCCGCTGGGTTTCGTGATTTGTTTCTGAGTCTCTGGGATCATGACCATTAATCAGCTTGATCAGGAGCCAGAGCTGTTTGTAGGCAGTGACTCAGGGTCTCGCTGGGATGGGAAGGAAAGGGCCGGTTCCACCCCTATCTGGTGAGGCCCCACGTGTCTCGTCACTGCAGGCCCAAACCTGACTGTCCAGTGGCCTCTGGAGGATGGCATTCACCGGGCCGCCAAGGGGAACAGGCCAAGGTATGAAACTTATTCCCACCTGGGGTGGCCCAGAGCCAGTAACCTACTGCACGAACAGGACATATTTCTGCCCAAAGCCTTTGGGTTTCGAGATTCATTTCTGAGTCTCTGGGATCATGGCCGTTAAGCAGTTCAATCAGGAACCGGAGAGGCCATGCCTCCAATTATATAGCTGAGCTGGAGGTAGTTTGTGGGTGTGTCTCCCACATACCTAAGCCTGGCAATATGCCAAACACAGTAACAACAAGTCTCAAAAAAATGGAGACGTTACTGGGCCCACTAGAGCAAATCAATGAACAACGGGAGGACAGTGTTTTTGGGGGTCACATCCAGGTATCCTCAGGGGTTACTCCTGGCTCTGCACTCAGGAATTACTCATGGCGGTGCTCAGGAGATCATCTGGGATGCCGAGGATTTAACCTGGACTGGCTGCATTTAAGGCAAATGCCCTCCCCTCTGTAATATCGCTTGGCCCCTTGGACGGTCTTATTTTTTGTCTGATTTTTTGGTGTTGACTTATATTTCA